TATAGTATATATATTAGTATAGTATATATATATATATATATATATATATATATATGGATATTTCTATAAAAATTACCTCGCCATATGTTTCTAAAATTTGAGTTTTATTTTGGCATAACGAATTAATGACTTTCGTTAATATCACTGGTAATTTGTCTTTGATTACTTTGTGGGCGAAACTTCTGAAAAAAAAAATATTAAAAGATATTAGTTCCATCAAAAGCTCAAATGATAACTAGTCAATAACCAAACGAAGCAAAATAATTTAAGAATTACTTCTGATATATTCCAGAGAGTGGTACACCAATAGGAGTAAACGTGTCCTGCAAATTCGGGATCCTGGGATCGTCTTTAGCCATTGTAAATATCAATAAAATCTGAACAAATAATGAGACAAAGATAAAACAATGGAGATTGCAATGAGAAGAGATTTCTCAGATTTATGTCTTATTTCACATACCAGGTTTAGAATGAAATAGCTGTTGATCTCTCCTGTTATTACACCAACCTTCAGTATTTAAAGTTAACCGAATAAATCTCAAAAAGAAAAAGCTTACGCAATACTCGAGAAGCAAAGAAAAGGGGAACACAGAAAAGAAATGGCCGGTGAAATCAACCTTGAGGTTTCGTCCTTCGCACTATAATTTGTCACAAAACAAATCGAAATATCATCGATTTCTCGCTTTCCACGTTTTACCAGTCAACAAGACGATAACACGACTGTAAACACAGAACGCCGCTAGCGGAATGACCATTCACGCAGCGGTAGAAACGGAGCAACGCGCAGGCGCGTAGCCGCGCGAAAATCGATTCCTCGCACGAGAAATCGATTCACTCCCTAACGCGATCGTGTCGAAAAAACGCGCGAGATCATCTACCTGAGGACGACTGTGGCAAGGACGGGTAATCGCTGTTTGTTCTTCTCGATTCCTTTATCTCGTCTGCGATTAACTGCGCGCGGTTTTGCGACTTCCTCGATCCACCGTGCCGAAGTTTTCGCCCAAAGAAATTTCATTAACGCGAAAAGTTTCCTCTCGTTCGCTTCTCTGCTTGTCTGATGCCGCTATCGCACTTTTGTCCAACGCGCAGACGCGAATGGATAACGAGGTTCCAACCTGTCGATGTCGCGGGCGAACGCACGCGCTTCCGACGTGGGAAATCGCCGCGGAACTCCGGTAAGTTTAGTTTTACGGATTAATCATTGGGACGTTCATATTTCTCAATCCATTTCTTGTAGTCGTGCCACGCCGCTGACTGGTGTTATTAAATTTAATATAAAATGAAAAATGAAATTTATGATTAATATTATACTTTTATAATTAATATTTACTCAATAATAAAAGAGTAAGAAGTGCACATGTAAATACTTTTATTTTTGTTTTAAATATATATATATA